GGCAAAACAACATAGTTGCTGTCAAATTATGCTTACTAACAGATGCATTACCTTCACTCTATTACATTAGTCTAAATGGAAGACACTCATTAAATACTTGTTCTATATACAAAAATGGACTTATTATAACATTAGGTTTGTTTTTCTTAACATGCCCATTTGCGACAAAGCTAACCTTAGCCTGTTAGCCAATAACGTTGTGTTACCGCTTGAAACTAGTATCTAACCACACATTTCACTGTAATAAAACTATAAATAAACGCGTATTGCACGTATATCGCCAAAACATACCTTCGTCTTGATCATACATGATATTTGCTGGTGAAAAACTTAACTTCTGGTTAAACTAAATGTAGGTTATCCGCGCACCCCACTGTATGGCGCTTTATGTCTGCGGCTGCACCGCTACGAGTGGTATCAACACAAACGGCTACAGAATTATACGTCACTTCCGGAGCAAGTGTTTTTATTTTATTTATACACAAGCATTTACACGTCTGTGATTAAGAAAACCATATTTATTAACCATATATATGAATGTTAATTATGTTACATAAAAATAAAATGTTTTACCTAATATTCTTTGTCCATTTTTTTCCGGTGACGTATATTGTACGCGCAGTATTCTCTCACATGGGTAACGTTACGTTGTTTTCAAGGTTGTAGTATTTGAAGCGATGTGATTGTTATTTAAACATATAATAATGTACAAGTTATTAAGAGCGTCGACATTCCAATTCTACAATCGTGCGTGTTTAAAACATGTTTCAAGACCGGAACATGAATGCATGTGGCGGTTTCCACGGTCATTTTCCAGCTTAACATCAAAAGACTGTGGAACCCATTTAGGCACAAACCAGAGGTGCAGATCATCCAGATGTGGGGTTTCAGGTCTGAGATGTTACAGCAGTCAAAAAGAAGCTAGAGGACCAGCATCAAATCAACCTCAGGAATTATACACATTAGTTGAGCCAGAGAAACAAGAACAATTTGTGTTCCCTGACTTTGATGAACCAGTGGACAATGAAGAGGATAAACTGCCAGATCATCTTCTTTCAAATGTGCTCACGAGTAATGTAGAAACAAAGCCAGTGCATGAAAAGCCTGGCAAAGACATGCACATTAAAGGACTGGAAATGCAACTGAAGCATTTAAAGGGCTCTGCAAAGTCTGAAGTGGAGGACAACTCATTGATTGAGTTCCACGATGAAGGATTCCCACTGGACCTACATACCAAATCAAAGAAGGTTAAAAAGCAGCAAAAGATCTATGGCTCTCCTGATGTGGAGGTGGCAGTCAGCGATTCCTGTTGCTCTGGCTGCGGGGCCCTCATGCACTGCACTGACCCTGAAATCCCAGGTTTCCTGCCAAGTGAGAAATTCAAAGCGTTAGTTGAAGAGGACAAACTGAAGAAGGCAATATGTCAGAGATGCTATTTAATCAATCACCACCAGAAGGCTTTGAACGTCACTATGTCCAAAGAGGAGTACAGAGCGATTGTCAAGAGAATTAAATCAGAGAAGGCTTTGGTGCTGCTGATAGTGGATCTTCTGGATCTCCCCGACTCCATCATCCCAGACCTTCCAGAGCTTGTTGGGAAGAATAAGCACATTGTTATTTTAGGGAATAAAATAGACTTGCTGCCTGGAGATGCAGAGAATTACCTGCAACGTATCAAACGTCAGCTGGCGGCATACTGTGCCAGCATGGGCATTTCTACCATTGATACCAAGGACATCCATCTCATCAGTGCCAAAACAGGTTATGGTATAGAAAACCTTATATCAAGACTGCAATCAACCTGGAAGTACAATGGAGATGTGTATTTGGTCGGCACAGCCAATGCTGGCAAATCCACGCTGTTTAATACTCTACTGGAATCAGATTATTGCAAATCCAGAGCTTCAGATGTGATGCATAAAGCTACTATATCTCCATGGCCTGGTGAGATATTGCATTTGAGTTAATTGGTTGCTTTTACAGACAGATACGATATCTATGATTACATAAAATCCCTAATATGTTGTTTAATTCAATGTTTGCAATTCTGTTTCACAAGTATATAAGAACAGAATGTTTCAAGGCACAAAAAAGAGAATGAAGACCTTTTTAATTAATGTACTTGACCCTTTTAGGACCTTGTTTTAGCTGCTTAATGTATGATCATTGCTGTGACATGCTGTCCAAGTTATTTAAATTGTTAAAACATTTCTATCTGTCCTCTTTAAATCTAGGAACAACATTAAATCTGCTGAAGTTTCCCATCATCAACCCGACCCCCTACCGGATGTTCAGGCGGACGGAGAGACTTAAACAGGAGTCTCTTTTGACTGAGGAGGACATGAATCCTCAAGAGCTGAAGAGAATCAAACAATTCAGCAAGCAGGGATACTTGGTTGGTAAGTTTGCACGTTTATTTTATTTTTTTAGTTAACCTAGAAATTCTCTGATATTAGAGACTTTTAAAGGGGTCATGAACTGGCTTTTTAAATTTCATTATATTGTTGTCTGAGGTCAACTTATGATGTTCGCTTGGTTTTTGCATTCAAAAACATCAAAATGAATAAGTAATAGGGCATTTTGTAAAAGATTTTATTGGACTAACAAGGACGTTTTCATGTCTGAAACTTACAGGATATTCTTATAATATGATGACCTCTTAGATGTCAAAAGTTCAAGGAAAATTTTATTTCTCAGTTCACCACCCCTTTAATTCGTCTCATTTCCACTATTTTTGTTTTTTAGAAAACCTTTGCCATCAAATGTTCAGTTAAAGTTCATCTTTAAAAACACTTAACTTATAAAATACTAAATAAGTGTTAAATAAATTCACAAAATTAATATAAATTTTTCATACTTGTACTTTATAAAGTGTGATGTTATGATGTCTAAATACACTGTAGCATTTAAAATTATTGATTTTATTTTGTTTACTTTTAATGTTTAAATGTATAATTGTTCAGGTAAAATAATAAAGATTATAGATCATCTTTTTCTCATTATAGTGCCAGTTTTAAGCTCTGAAGGAAAAGAAAATGTGAGATATATACATATACAGTGGTCCTTAAAACCACTTCTTTTATTGGTCAAATGAAATATGCTAATTTTTTGAGATAGGAATTTTGGGTTTTCATGAGCTGTATGCCAAAATTATCAAAACAATAAAAGACCTGAAATATTTCAGTTGGTGTGCATTGAATCTAAAATATATGAAAGTTTAATTTTTATCATTACATTATGGAAAAAATGAATTTTTTTAGAAGGACCAGTATATATATATATATATATATATATATATATATATATATATATATATATAATATATATATATAATGTATTATAATGTATTATTATATAATATTATAGATTTTAAGTTTGAGGCAACTTCATTTTCTCCATTGTTTTTTTAGGTCACATTGGGAGGACATTTCGTACAAATCAGTCACTCAAGAAAGACCTTGTGGAGTTTGATCCTGACAGTCTGAGCTTTGGAGAAGACGTGGAGGAAGGTGTTAAACAGAATCAGTCCTTGGACTCCACAGACGCAGAGCTCACCTACAATGAAATCAAAGATGCACACTGGTTCTATGACACCCCAGGCATCATGAAAGAACATGACGTGAGTCTCTTCATTCAAACTGTACTCACATAATGTGATATAATTATGTTCATAACTGCAATCATTTATGTTCCCTTATTTTAAAACATCTATCTTTATGAATCATGTGCCACAATGGGTTTTAATCAAAATGTTACTTTCCAGGTGCTCAGCCTGTTGAATCATCAAGAAGTGAAGCTGGTGGTTCCTACACATGCCATTACACCGAGAACGTATCTAATGAACCCTGGTATGGTTTTGTTTTTGGGGGCTTTGGCACGCATTGATTATTTGGAGGTAAGAGTTTGACTTAGGAGGAATGCTTAATGTTTTGCTGCATCTGCACCACACTAAGATAATTTCAATGATCGTTACTCTCTCTAGGGGAAACACTCTTGCTGGTTAACAGTTGTTGCCTCATCACGCATCCCGATTCACATCACCAATTTGGACAAGGCTGATGCAGTCTATCAGAAACATGCTGGGAATATCCTTCTTGCAGTATGTATATACTTTATATGTATATGTGTGTGTGTGGTATCAGTAAAATGAGTTCTACATGATACTACATTATTTTGTGAAAGGTCCCATCTGGTGGTGAGGAGCGCATGAAAACTTTTCCACCACTTATCGCTCAAGACTTTGAACTCGAGGGGCAGGGCTGCAACACCGCAATTACTGACATCAAGATCTCATCAGCAGGTAAAAATGATCAAGCAGAAAAGCAGACTAAGCAATGTGTTGGATAAATATTCTGATTCTTTATAATCTTTGAATATGCAAATTAGCCCCACCTCCACTCACTCGAGATGGGGCCTGACAACTGACAACAGTAGTCCGGCCAGGATATTGTTATTTAAAAAGTGATTTACCAATCCCGGAGTCAGTAGTGTTACAGTAGGGGATACACCGCTCTATATTAATTTGAAAGTGATTGCAGTACCAGTTTTGGCCACAATCTTGCATACAGCTCCTTTAAGTCCGATTTTTTTGTTTGTTTGTTTCTTAGGCTGGGTTGCTGTGACAGCAGCTGAAGGAGATCAGCTGTTTTTGAGGACTCACGCCCCTGAAGCAGCAGGACTTTGTTTGCGCACCCCGCCTTTGCTGCCCCACATTGTGAATTGTAAAGGACAGCGAATCAACAAGTCTCCCGCTTACAAGACTAGAAAGCCACAGGCGCTGGTTGACGTCGGTCTGTCTGTGAAAGCAGCTGAGAGACTCAAAGTGAGAAGGAAAAAATGAAAAACATTTAAGTGCAAGTTGCTTTTCAAAATGTTGTTCTGATTCAACAGTGTATTGCTTGTATGCTACATATTTTTAAACTAAATGTTTATGAAATGTATTTATATATTCAGCCATTTAAAATGTCTTTCAAATAAATAAAAAACAAATGAACAAAAAGTGTGGCAAGAGTTTTTATTTTATTGAAACATCTTCTGCTAAGCATACAGGTCACACAGTAAACTGTTTTTGCAGATTATTCATAAAAAGCCAAATCGAGGGGACATTATATAATATTTCAACTGATATAATTTGACTGCTATTACTAGGAAATGGAAAAGACAGTCAAACACTTACAAAGATATGTAAATGACAACAATTCAAGTTGTGAATTGGAAACATGCTATTCTAAAAAAAGAAATGCAGTGCTTAAAAAAAAAAAATGTTTACAGTGATAAAGTATCCAACCGTTCAAGAGTTTTCAGGGGCCCTGTGGATGGTTTTGAAGGAGCAACACGGGATTTTACTCCTAAAACCCTACCAACTACATCTTGCTTTGGTAATATATCCAAAAACTCAATATTGCACTTAATGCACTAAAGGCAATTGTCTATAAATTTCTTCTTTTTTTTTTCTTTCTTTCTTCTCCTTTTTAGACAATGATATGGTGGCACATTTAAAGGTTTGTGGCAACAACACATTCACACTCATAAAAAACTAAAGAAAGTCAGTCAAAAGTCATATGACTACCGTAGATAAACTTTGGATAAACATTTTTGATGCAGATCATTAATTTGATATAGAAGGGAATGTTTTACAGAGAAAAGATAAGACATTTGTTCTTCCGATGGTAAATAGGATCTACATATCCGAGAAATGAATTAAAATGCTCAAATTGATTGTCTGAGGCACTGAAGAGCAAGTAAAGAACAGAAATATGTACAGTTTATATACAGACAAAAGCAACAAAATCTTTGGACTGAGGATGACGTTACCAGAAAATCTGACAGAAAAAAGACAAAAATCTACAAACACAAGTGTAAAAATCTTAGACAGAAAATAACCTACTATTCAAACATTTCAAACTACACTACTTTCCTTAAAAGGCAGAGCAGCCTAATCAAAGAAAGACCTCTAGGAAGTGTACAGAAATGTTTTTGTATGTGAAAGGTAAGATTATGGTTAGTTGTCAAGTGCTCTCTAAACTGTAAAAGGGAACAAAGAAACAGTTGAATACAATGACATTAGCCAGCTTTAAACACACACTCCGTCTCTTGCTACCCAGCGATGGAGGCGCTTCAGTGGAGTGGAGCAGCACAAAGACAGTGAAAGCCCCATTATCTTCAGGGCTATTCAGTGCTGGACCACCTGGGTCTGGCTAATCTGAGCTCTCTGCAGGGATGGAGGGACAAAGTTTACTTGATTTCAGGGCAGCCCTCAATTTTTTTGTTGTCCGAGTAGTCTTACAAAAAAAAAAAAAAAACGATGACCATTTTGACCAAATTCACTTCATTTGGAACTCAAGACAATCGAATCCTATCACAAGTTTATTCGAGATTGTAATCTCAGGAATACTGTGGTAAGAAATATATTAGTTTGACATTTCATGTTGCATCATGTCACGGCAAGCTAAAAACTAGAAAGCATTGATGTGGGCGTCTGTCTTGAGCTGTAAAGCCAACAAGAACAGACAGGAACCTCATTTTTTTTACAACTTGAACAAGCTTTGTTCAGTTCGGAAGTCTCTGAGAACCTCATAAACTGCCTTGAACACAAAAAAGATACTCCTCACTTGTCACCCTGAGCTGCCCCCTCCAAGTAGTACACATTCACTAAATGGCGGTTCAAGTGGCGGCGGTAGTCCATCTCTAAAGAAAACGTACGGTCGCAGAAGATACACGTGTGACTGAGCAGTTTGGTTGAAGATGGGAGCTCTTCCGTTGGAGTCTCTGGAAGTTTCTCTCCACCCTCGTTGGCGGCAGCCAGTCCGTTAAGACCGGAGTCGTAGCTTCCTTCAGAGGCACTATCGCTGATGTCACTTCCCCCATCGTTACTGTGGATACCCTCGTCATACTCTGCATCGGTGGATTTGTGACCAGGCGGACCAGGAAGTTCAAGAGATGAGCTGAAACCTGGAGAGCTCTCGCTGTCAGTAGGTGACGGCATCTCACTTCCACTGTCTACTTCTGGAATTTCTTTTGGTTCACGTGAGATCTTATTCTCGGTTTCTTTAGGTTGTTCTGAGGGAGGATCGCACAAGACTGTGGGTTCCTCTGAAACAGCAGCAGTCTCCTTGTGATTGGTCACATCGGTAGGCGTCTGCTCGTCTGGTTGGTTAAGCACCTTCAGTGTTTCTGTGGTGAGCCCTTTTTCGGCTTCTGGAGGGCTTAGCTTCTGAGGGACTTCATCGGTCTTCTCGGGTTCAATGACACAACTGTCAGGTTTGTTTGTACTTGCCTCAGCATTGATGGCCTGTAGAACATCAGGTATGGTGTGATTTCTCTCTGGAGCACCCGAACTTGTTGATGGCTTGGCTGTAGCTTTCTTTGTGCGCTTGACCCGCTTTGCTTCTGAAGAATCAGTCGCTAGTTCATTCATGTTCTCTGCTTTTCTTTTGACCGGTTTAGTCCTGACTTCTTTCGTTGCCTCTTTACTCTGGGTATCACTGTTGACCTTTGACAATTTTGTCTGCCTCTTGCATGGCTTCATGGTTGGAGATTTCCTGCAATCCTTTGCACATTCTTTCTCTTCGGTCTCCTTCACTTTATCATTCAGCAATCGGTTTTCCTTTTGTAGCCCCTCTCTTTCTTCCTTATCCTGGTGCTGCTGCTGTTTATCTACAAGGTCTTTCTCCAGTCTTTCATTGTCCAAACCAAACCTTTGCTCTTCAACAACGGGTTGACGTTTTGCAATAACTTCATTGGCGGTCTCCTTTAATGGCTTTTCTTTCTTAGGACGACCTTTCATTACTTTCTCCACAGATTTGATTGATTTCTCTACCTTCTTTAACTCCTTTTTATTAGCTTGTTTGTTATTGCAGGACTCTGTTTGTGTTGAGGCAATGTCTTTCACCAAAGTCTTTCCTTTAACCTTCTTACCGGTTTTCTCTTTCCCCTCATTTTTCGCCATGGCCTTTTTCTCGTTGGGTTGCTGGCTTGGCTTTCCAGATTTTTCTTTCACATTGAGATCTATGTTTTTCTTTGGGGTCTTACCAGTCAGCTCAGTCTCCACAGCAGAGGTGGGTTTACTAGATTTCTTAATGGAGAGGTTGATGGGTCCTGACTCAACGTCATCCAACTCTTCCAACTGCTTTTCCTCACTTCCCCTTGCTCCAGCCTGTTCTGTCGCAAGCTCGTTTGGCGAAACGTCGTCGATGTCAGTCCTTTTGACACGCAGTCTTACCTTTGACACGTCCAACGAGATATCACTGCATCCCGGGTGTCTGGACTTGATGTGATACTGTAAGTTGCACTTCTTGGACGCAGCATACTTGCAGACTGGGCAAAGAAACTGGCGAGGGTTGACATGGAGCTCAACATGCTTTTTAAAGTTGCTGCGGTCGGCTGTCTTGTATTGGCAGTAAGGGCAGCTTAGGGGCTTGGGTCCATTGTGGACCTGTCTGGCATGGCGGGTCACCTCGTGCTGGTTGGCTGCCAGGTAGCTGCAGTTGTCGCATTTGAAAGGCCTCTCACCTATTGTGGACAGACCATAAGGAGAAGGTCAAGACAGAACAATCAGTCTTTTATTTCAACATTTTGAGAGAAACACAGACGCAAGACTCATGCAGGGAATACAGATAAAAGACGGGCAAACACATCACATCACAACTGTATACCACAAACCGTGTACCATTTTATCCAAAGCCATCTGGCTCCACGGAGAGCAACAAAAGAGAGAAACGTCATTGACAAGATCAAAACACAAGCCTTGAGTCATAGCTGATTAACAGCACATTTGCTTTGTCCCAAAACCCAGAGAACTCCCTCACAGAGGTATACACAATTTCCATGACTAAGATTTAATTCACATGATGTTTCCCAAGCATGGAAACCACAGTTTTAAATCCTACACAATACTTTTTAGAGAATGCATCCCAGAATGCACCGTGACAGGTTCAATGGAAAAACAAATCCAAGATGAATTGCCAATTGTGTCAAATGATTAAAAATGTCTTTAATAACAATACTTATTTTTATAATTAATCAGTGTAATTAAATGATTGCGTTAGCTAATTTCTAATTGATAAATTTGTGCATGCTATGTATTTCCATTCCATTAAAATACTGTTATTGGCTAACTCTATTGAAACGTATTAAAACAAGGCAGCTCAGAAGGTTTTGGAACTTAGTTATTAAATCAAAATGTGAACTGGAATTTAACAAACTAGCTTATAATTCCTAAAATATATAACTATATACAACCTAGATCAATTTTAAAACAAGAATGATTCAAAAGACTCACCTGAATGGGTTCTCATGTGTCTGGTCAGATGAGTTTTTTGGGAACTGGAGTACTCACAGTATACGCACTGGAAGGGACGCTCACCTAAAAAAAAAAAATCACATTAAATCAAGTGTTTGATTTTTCATCCATTTCTGATAATATAAAAAGACACTGAAATGTGAACTCAGATTATTTTAGTTCGATTTTAGACGCACCAGTGTGGGTCCGGATGTGCTGTATGTAGTTATTTTTGCGGTCAGAAAAATATGAACACTGGTTGCAAGTGAAAAGCTTGCTGGGAAAGTGGTTCCTCAGATGTTTCTTCCAGTGGTACTGACTGATGGTGGTATAAGCACAAATGGTGCACTTGAAAACTCTCTGATCTTCACCCTCCTTAGTATGATGTTTAAGGTGAGCCATGTAATGGTCATAACGGTTGGTGTTGTATCCACAACGCTCACAGCGGATCACACCTTTGGAGTTGCTCAAACTTTCACTATTCTCTTGGTTCGGTGTCTGAGATTGTCCTGTCTCACTGGCCAGATCGTCGTCAGAGTCAGCCGCACCATTTACCACATTCATTTTCTTGGCACTGTGAATGCGGATATGGTGAATAAAGTCCTCCTCGTTCTCGCCCTGGTACTGGCAAGGTTTACAAAGGAAGGGCTTCTTCTTCTTTTTGTTGGATTCGAAGATGACAATCGGGGTATGCTTGCGTTTTTCCGCCTGCGAGGACTCAGATGGGGCCTTTTCGGACGGGTTCGAGAGATCTTCTGCCCGCTCCATTTCAACTTGCTCCGGCGCTCTTTCGGTAACATCTGCCTCAACCCGAGTGGCCCGCTCAGCGTACGTGTCCTCGGACATTTCCGAATTGTCAAGGCTGTATCTGATAACACCCTCTTCCTCACTGTCAGAATAGTTGTTGCATCCAACAGTCTTGAGTTCAACCATTTGTTTCTCTTCTGCATTGTAGTCTGAGGAAGACGCCTCTGATGATACCACTACGTTAGCAAGCATCACTAGCTGCGGGGCGGCCACATCATTCCGAGGCAGCTCAGGAAGGTCATGGCCCACCTCCGGTAGTGGGATCCCTCCAGGCATGAAGATACCAGAAGTAGCAGAATACACCATCTGAGCAGCCATGCTCAACTAGCTAAAATGTAAATAGAAATACTGATTTTAGAGAACAAAATCAGAAAATACTATCAGTAACTTAAAGGAGTAGTTCACTTTAAAGAAAAACTTTTGCTGATAATTTACTCACCCCGAGGTCAAAAAGAAATTAAGGTTTTTATGAAAACATTCCAGGATTTTTCTCCATATAATGGACTTCAATGGGAATCACACGGTTCAAGGTCCAAAAGACAGTTTCAGTGCAAACTGCAAACTGTTCAAAGGGCTTTAAATGATTCCAGACGATGAATAAAGGTCTTATCAAGCGAAACGATCGCTCATTTAGAAAAAAAAAAGTTCAAGTTTTATAAGCTCAAATGGTCGCCTTGCTCCGTTCTGTAATGCGCGTTCGTGACTCTCCCGTTCGAACTCGTTTATTAAAAATGAACAAATCTTTTTTCGTGTCATTTGGTTCATTCAACGAACGAAATGAACGAGTTGACTCTGGAAAAGATTTGTTCAATTTGATGAACGAGTTCGAATAGGAGTCACGAACGTGCATCACAGAACAGAGCAAGGCGACCATTTGAGCTTATAAAACTTGAACTTTTTTTTTATTCATCGTCTGAAATCATTTAAAGCCCTTTGAACAGTTTGCAGTTTGCACTGAAATTGTCTTTTGGACCTTGAACCGTTTGGTTACCTGTAAAGTCCATTATATGGAGAAAAATCCTGGAATGTTTTCATCAAAAGCCTTAATTTCTTTTCGAAAGAAGAAAGAATGACATGGACATCTTGGCTGACATGGGGGTGAGTAAATTATCAGCAAAAGTTTTTTTTTTTAAAGTGAACTACTCCTTTAAACTGTAAAAATTGCATATTTGTATTATCATCTTCAATTTTATATAAAAAATGTGTATGTGAAATGAAAGAAGTTTGAAAAGGATGTGAGAACTGCGATCTTTTGAGAGCAAGTAATCTGACTTTGACAAAACAAACACTGTGATTTCATTTAAGCTAAATAAGGGTCAATGACTTCACCTTTCTGAGGTGAGTCTCAGTTGAGCCATTCTTTGATTGATTAATCAATGAAAAAGCAAATTGTTTGATTTCATGCTCTCAATCACATTTAAAAAGAGGAAAACAAAGCCTAAATCAACAAAATCTATACCAGTATGTCAATACATTGTTCTTTCTTGTATGAAGTCCACTAAAGCAATAAGCAGCTTTAACTCTCAGTTTCAAAGAGAAAGAGAGAGGTTTAAAAACACTCAATGCTACATACAAAATATGTTTTAAATTGGTTTTTTGAGTGTTGAAAAAAACAAAAATCACAAAAACACTCCAGTTAGTTGAATTAAATCAGTTCTATTGTAAGAAATATGGTCATGGCAAAGTGGCAAACAGAGTCATGCATGTGTGTGATGAGGCCCTGTGAGCTTTGCATGCTCACAAATGTGTGTTCGGCCATTTTAAAACAGCACCACCAACTTCAGCCAGCGGAGGAGAAAAAAAAAACATAGACGATGTGTGAACTGAAGCAGCTTTACATGAAAGTTTACTGAGATCAACTCATTTAAACAGCAAAGCACTAAACGTCTATTGCTAAAACGCGCAATCGAGCTTTAAGTGAAAAGATACAGTGATTGTGTTCAATCAAAATAAGGAGTGAAAAACTTTGACCTTGTTGGACAGCTCCAAACACGACCCGTCTGAATCAGACGAAGAGCTCGCGAACTCCAACTTACATGAAATGTTACAGGCATAACAAATCAAAAATCACTCACTACATGAAGTTTAACATGGCTACAATCAAATGAAGTCGCATTTCGCGGAAATATTGGGGATTTTAGAATAAACAAAAGCTAAAAAAAAAAACACCAAAAAAAGAAGAACTGATTTACTGTAAGACTGAAAAGATTGTAATTTTTCAGATGGAATAATAGTATATAATCCAATTTTAGTCAATCTGACAACAAAAGTTGCATGACGAACCTTCACTAAGAAGAAGAAAAATACTTTTCCGGAAACTGCATGCATGCAACAGCAGCAACAACAGCACGCACAACCCGACAAAGTTACACTTTGCATTCAACATAGTCGATCGCAGATGATGGTGAGGTTTTTGATTCTAATTTCTCATTACTTTTATGCATTTTTTTTTTTTTTCACTTTTAATTTGTTCAGCGTGAGTGTGTTAGCCGTGGTCCTGATCTGATCTCTCTCCGTGCTGAAATCAGCCCTGGACAGCGCCTCTCCCTTTCAATGTAAACCTCCATTTTCACTCCACTTACTCAAACTTAGTTGGGCTCGTGCGCGACACAAAACAACACAAAACCACACCCTAATGAGCACAAAACCCCACGGAACCAAGCCCGCGTACTCACCGGAGACGATCACTCGTTGTTCGGCGATGTTGTTCCAGAAACAAGTTTCGGGAGAAGTTATTTCCAAACTCTCAAATCGGTCAAGGAAGTGCGCGAGACTCACGCATTCCAACACATCGCTCTCGCGCAGCGATAGCGGGGGATGTCTGACGTCAGCGCGCTCGCTCACACAGGGCGCGTTCATGTTCTCGCGGTCTCGAAGTTTACTATCGAGTGTTTTGTTTTAGTAGTGTGGACATAGAGTGACAGACTGATTTGAACAAGGCAGGATTGATTTTTTGTGTTAGTTGACTGCCACATGCTTGGCAAACAAGCAGCAGTAAATTTGTTTTTAAGGGATATTTTTAGAGGATGATATTAATTAATATATATATAAACAACTTGTAAAGAGTTGTTTTTGTCCCCATGGTTTTGTCCACACTTTTAAGTTTTAACCCTTTTGGTGCTTTGGACAAATTTTAACTGTATTAGCTTAAAAGTCATGAAATTTTTGTCATAAACATGTCATTTTAACAGTGATTTAATGCCAGGTTAAATCACTAGGCATTCAGGATTTTGCTGCTAAATGTATTGCAATATACAACATAAATGAAAAAGTGCATATGCTACGGTAAAATACAACAAAGAGCTTTAGAAAAGAACAAGTTCAAATAAATATGAAGGAAGTTAATATGAAATTTGTATGCAACACAATACAGTATACTGTGAAGTAATGTACATGTGCTATAAAGTTTATTGTAGTGAAATTTGCCTCATCTAAAGTACTGTTATTGTGTACTGTAATTATACTGAATATGTGCAAGTAGTTATTATCCTGAGATTCTAATCCTCAGTTTTGCTATTTAAAGTTTTTTTTTCAAATTGCTTAACACAATTTCTGAAACTATGGCTACATGTCTCACAACATGCAAAATATCCCACATCTCTTGCAAAAGCAAACACTTCATTCAAATGTTTTGATTTGTAAGTAATCAAATTAGTATATTTAGACTAAACTATAAACAAGTGCAAGAGGCTAAAAATAAATTCTTTCTTTTCTCAAAACTTTTGAGTTTTGATTTCTAAGTGATCAATTTATGTACAAGTGGTTTCTGTGGCATTTAAATGGCAGTGTTTTCTGAATGAAACACAAGAGCTGTTAGATTTGCATGTGTCTAATGTAAAAACAAAATGTGTTTAGATTTCTGCAAAAAGTTTGCTATGTTTGTCATATTATGAGCTTGCGTTTTTGCAAACCCCCAAGTATGTAATGTTTAGGCTACTAATGTATTAATGTGTGCTACTTGAGTTCACATTGTGACACATGAATTACACTTAGAATAAAGTAGCCTATGTGTGAAACATTTTGAGGTCTATATATTATATGTTTTGATAAAACTGAATGAATAGTTTGGAAATTGTGGCAAATTAATCAGTTATATTATAGTGTGTTGCTTAGCAATCGGGGAAAACTGTAAGAAAGTTGTACTTTATATTTATGACCACAAGGCTGCGCTCAACATCTACGTGAGAAGCGCTTATCGAAAGAAAGAAAGAAAGAAAGAAAGAAAGAAAGAAAGAAAGAAAGAAAGAAAGAAAGAAAGAAAGAAAGAAAGAAAGAAAGAAAGAAAGAAAGAAAGAAAGAAAGAAAGAAAGAAAGAAAGAAAGAAAGAAAGAAAGAAAGAAAGAAAGAAAGAAAGAAAGAAAGAAAGAAAGAAAGAAAGAAATGCACAATTAATTTGTTTTATTACCAAATTATTCCCAGTGGCAATAGTGTGTGCTTTTGAGTTTGAAGAGGTTATTGTGACTTTTTCATGCCTGGTGTAAATGGTCACATGACCGGAATTGAGTTAGTTTGCATCTCTGAAAAATAATGCCAGTGCCCGAAAGTATGCTAAGTGCTGATACAAATTAACTAGGCTATCACATTTGGTAATGTATATATAAAAATGTAAAGGTTTTATATCTTATCCATCATGAAAAATCGCTCTTTCTCGTAATATACATCAAGTTTAATCAATTATTGGATTAGGCTACTTTATTAACATTAGTAGGTGTCAAGCGAATTTCGATGTATTTCAGTGTATTTCCTACTGGTTTTACAAATCAAGCATTTTACTGGATTGTCCCAGGAGTAAAATAATATATGCTGGGAATGAAATGGAATTAAACATTCTTAATTGAACCGCTCAAGTCGTGCTTTTATTTTGAAGCTGAAGGTTTTCCCGCTGTAGCTGGCTTCATTTGATGACGCAACTAGCTTTTTCGCTGATCTACAAGCATCTACAAGTCAAAATTGAACAGCAAGTCCGCTAGCACAGAGTCTCTATAGATCAGACTGAGCTGAGCGCATATCAACCGAAGCTCTACGCGACGCGTTACTTCACGCCACGGACTGACGACTGGCTTGGAAGCTGTCCGGAAACTTTTTCGCCATCTCCCTTGCGATTTCATTATCGCGGATTGCCCTGGCATTGAGATGTATCATGTAAAACATTCGGAATCTGGATATTTTGTGGGATTTAAGAAGATGGCGTCGGCTGACGTTTAAATTGATCTGGAGTTTTGCTTCTGTATTCGTTCCGTTAAGTCAAGTGACTCATATAAACTTTAAAACGCACTTATTTTGTTCGCGTTCATACACAAAACGTCAACCATGATCGGGACTGAAGTCCACGCTTTGTTTTTTTAGTAGTTTTACTTGTTATAACGGTGACGTTTTAAATCAAGGGAAAAAGCCAAATGTAACGTTAGTGGGGCGCGTGTTTTTAGCTGATAACTGAGCTAAGCTGTTTAATTATTTAATATTGGGTGGAATCGTTTGTATAAATAACTTTAAGTATTATATTACATTATATATATTTTTTATATAATTAAAACGGTATGTGATAGTGGGTTTATCTTGTAATTTAGTATATTCATAATTATATGCTCCTCAAAAAGCCCAGGTAGTGGGAGATAGGAAGGGACTGGGTTAGATTGTAAATATATCTATCTATATTTTTTTAAAAAATATTCAAAAGCATATCCAGGATTTCTACAATGCCGGATGCAGTTGTGAATTTTAGTCTTTTGCACAGGACTTGCTCTCTGGTTGTTGTGCTGTGTTTCCTTCACATCTCCGTCACTCTCATATATTATATGAGAAATTCAGATTCAAGGCAATCCTTCGTTCAAAATCAGCAAAACCCTCAGATCCACAGGAAACTGACCGAACAGAAAGTCTCAACCGAGGAGATCAGACTGGCCAGTCTGTCATCTGTTACGAATATCACAGAAACTCCGAGAAAGCTGGAAACATGCCCTGACAATCCACCTAGCCTGGGTGAGTTTCGGTTTCTAAGATCTATTTTTAATGTATATTTATATTAATGTAATAATATTGTGGAATATATTATATGCTATTGTTTATTCAGAATATATTTTCCTCAATAAAAACTGATGACAATGATTTTTAGGATCATTACTCCTTCAGTGTCACATGATCCTTCAGAAATCATTCTATATGCTGATTTACTTTTACTGTTATATTATACAAAATATTTCTCATACAGTCTGAGTCCTTTTTTGTTGCTTAATATTTTGTGGAAACTATGATTCCACTACATTTGAAAGTTTTACACTAGCATTCAAAATGAAGTTTGATTTAAAAAAAGACAGTTTAAACTTTAATTCACAAGGATGCTATAAAATGAAAAAAAAATGTCTTCATAATGTTACAAAACATTACTAATTTAAAAAAAATGAACTTTCAATTCATCAATTAATCCTCAAGCATAAGAGTCTTCTTACAAACTTAATCTTAAAAAATCTTAATGATTCCAAACTTTTCACTAGTATACAGAAAGTTTGCACATTTATTTATTGATAAGTAAAAAACATATGTAACACCAGTTGATGTTAACATGCGTTACTATGGCCATTTTTTCTCCTCATTTTTTCTGTTTAGTAGGGCGAGTCTTCTTGACATTTTAAATAGGCTTGATTTTCAAGGAACATTCATTGTTTTTGTATCATGATGAGGCTGTTTTCATGATGAATACAAGTGTAAAGTAGGCTTAATTTTCTAAATTTACATTTTGTGTTTTGGTTAAGTTGTTCAAAATACAACATTTGAGGTTTAAATTCTGTGCTATTGGCTGGTTTAGATCGATTGGTTTTAAATTTAAATAAAAAAACTCTTTTATAATTTTTTTTAACCATAATCCATGTACAATTTTGCTGGTCTATTAATAATCAACACAGTTTAGTATTTCTGAGAAACCTGTGTTTGTTATAAATTATGTGACCTGTCACGTTGTCTTCCCTCAATCCAGATTCTGAAAACAAAAGCATGTTTTTACAGCTGTTGAGTCTCTGGATGATAACATTTACCCCTCTGTTTAATTTTTTTTTTTGACAATACAGCAATTTCTTGTCTCTTGCATAAGTGTTACTTGGTACTTTTCACATTATCTACTGATGCTGATGAATTGGCTTCCCTAAAACCCTGTGTGTCGTAATGGAAAAATTGGCGGAGAAGCATTGTGTCTGTTTTTGTCCTGGCTGGCTATCTTTCTCTTTTGTCAGACAACATTGACACTGCTGCTGCTTGTAGCAACAGTAGTATGATAATGTAATCGGATACCACCATAGTGTAATGAGTAAGAATAAGTTCTCTAAGGTCACATGGTTTACTTTTAGGCACAATATGCTGATTTCACGCAGCCGCCATTTTGAAATGGCTCTGGTGGGAAGAAAAATGTAAGTGTCGCCTTTAATCATAGGAGAGTTGCGAATGCGATGGCGTATTGTTTAATGTAGAAATTAGTTAATTCTAAAAATGTACATAGATTTCTTTCATACTTGAGACTAAATACAGTGAAATTCATTTATAAATGAAATATTTCTTCAGAACGTAAAAAAAGAAGCTGGAATGAACTATATACATATCCTATATTGGAAATTAACTTCCAATAGTGTGAATCGCAGCAGCAGCTTCAGGTTGGTAGTCCAAGGCGTCGTTGTCCATCTGTACTTCCAGGGTTCTTCCCATCGGAGCTTCGCTTTCGATTTCAAAATGGCGGCTGCGTGACATCAGCATATAGTGCTTGGTTGGTTTGTAATGGTTGAAGTCATCCAGTCCCAATATTGATGTTTAAAGGATAGTTAGTTCACTCAAAATTTTAAATTATGTCATTATTTAATTGCCCTCATGCTGTTCTACGTTGTTTCTTTCTTCCGTTGAACACAAAAGAAGATATTTTGAAGAATGTTGACCAGACTGTTGACGGTAGCCATTGACTTCCATTGTAGGAAGAAAATACTGTGGAACTCAATGGCTACCGTAAACTGGTTACCAACATTCTTCATAATATCTTCTTTTGTGTTCAACAGAAGAAAGGCACTCATACAGGTTTGAAACAAAATGAGGGTGAGTAAATGATGACAAAATTAAATTTTTTTGGTGAACTCTCCCTTTAATAAAATGAGATTTAGGCCTATGTCTCCAATAATAAAGCATGTAATTTGTGTCTCTGTTCTTCTAGTGGGTCCACTCCGGGTTGAGTTCTCTGACCCGGTCACCCTAGACCTTGTGAGGTCAGAGAACCTTGTGTTGCAGCCCGGCGGGCGGTTTAAACCCACAGACTGCACCGCCCAGCAAAAAGTGGCATTGATCATCCCTTTCAGGAACCGGGACGAGCACCTGAAGTACTGGCTGTATTATCTGCACCCCATCTTACAGCGCCAGCAACTGGACTACGGCGTCTACATCATCAATCAGGTTTGTCTTTCAACCAGTGCAATAAAATCTTTGACCTGTTAGCTCCTACTGAGGTTTTATCTGCAAGCACACAAGAGTTCAAAGGCCTGTGGTACAGTCTGATCTTATCATTGAGTCGGAGGTTAAATACCGGTTCTCGTTTGTCGAAATAAACTTGGACAAAAAAGATTGGTGTAGAATTTCCTTTGAAACAATTTTCACTTAGAAGTTGCCTGTACATTTCACAAAAAGGCAAGTAATACATTGAATAAATGTAAGATTTTGAACTAGAACAACTAAAATAGTAGGGCTGTGCTCAGAATATCGAACTCCTGACGATGCGCGTATCGCTACAGTAGCTGCCGTATCGATGCCGTTGTGCTATTGAATGTTGCCAATTCCGGGCTCGAATTTTGGGGTGGGTATTGCGCATAATTTTAACCATTCCCACAGCTCTCCCACTTATAATGCGGGAAATTCCCGCAAACGTTGATTTACTTTAGCATGTATTTTGTATTAGAAAATAAATCCACACAAATTATAAAATCAAATCAGTAGCTTGAAAACGTTCTGCGAGACGCAATTTCACAAACAGTGTGAGTTCAATGGCGCTGCGTCTGCTCTCTTGTCTCTCGAAACGGCTGCTCAAGGCATACGTCAGCCAGTGAAACTACACGCTCGCGTTTAGGAGTCGGAACATGACGGAATATATTCACTTGCATAATCGTGTCAGCATTGCATCGTGACTAAAGTTTACCATTTGTGTGTCTTTAAGTCCTACCAGTTTAAATATTCAAACGGTTTTAAACTATTCAGTACTTGCGCACTCTCTGAGAGTTTGTTTTCTCTGCGTGCACATAAAGCCACCTCACATACAGATTGCGAGATTATATCATTTTCTAGGGATGGGCAACGATTAATCGCGATTAATCACATCCAAAATAAAAGTTTGTGTTTACATGATATATGTGTGTGTGGTGTGTGTATAATTATTTTGTATATATAAATACTAACACGTGCATGTATATATTTAAGAAAAATGTGTTCTTAAATATTTATATTTATACATAATATTAATTATGTTTAAATATATATAAAGTATATACATGCAAATATTTCTTAAATGCATACATGCATGTGTGTGTATTTATATATACAAAATAATTATACACACCACACACACATATATTACATAAACACAAACTTTTATTTTGGATGCGATTAATGGCGATTAATCGTTGGCCATCTCTAATTTTAACAGACTAAAACATGCAAAATTATGTACAAAATTTCGGTCTTGGTAAGTATCCTCTAAACACAGTTGGTTGTGGTTATAAGCATAAATGTTTTTAACAGAAATGGCAATTCACGGTTTTATGATGTAGTTAAGCGAGATATTCTGCTGTCACTCTCTTCACCCTGAGCATGTTAATCAATTGTTGTTTCTGCATAAAAATCTGAAAATGTAATAATTTAAAATGATTTCAGAAATGACTTTGTTTGGTGCACATTTCAACACTTAAGACCAAATTATCACAACTGTTTGTATCGTTATGCATATCGTATCATTTCGGGTGATACACAGCCCTATAAAATTGTATTTTCTTTTAAAACATACTTCTATAATCTTTAGAGTAGAGTGTTGGCAAACCCGTTGTTTTTTAAAGAAGATGCACAACATTCCAAGAGCTTTTTTTGTAAATGCCAGTTGAAAAAGTTCTAAACTGTATTTTGGAAAATTAAGATTAAGATGTTGAACACACCAACACTTTGCTCTTCGTTACCAGTAATGATGAGTTTGTCTTAAAGGGATAGTTCACTTTGAAATTAATGTTTGATATGTTTTAGCTTACCTCAAGGGCATCCAAGATGTAGGTGTCTTTGTTTCCACAGTATTTTCAATTTTGACATTTTTCAGTCAAACCGTTGTTGTCTATCAGTCATACACTGAGAAGTCCAAATTAAACATGATTTAATGACTCGTAAATGTAAGTAAACATTGATGGTCTAAGACACGAAACGAGCCGTTTTTGTGAGAAAACGAACAGTATTTATATCGTGTTTACCTCATGTAATCACAGTGATGTCCAAGTGATCTAAATCAGTTGTGCAATGTCCAACTGAACCGAACTGAATCAGTTCAATCTTACGCCGGAAGTGATCGCTTGCGTGTGACGTCACTCAATATTTACACGGAGATTTCGGAAGTTTTACCTTTTACTAAACATATTTAGATATACCGAAATCGTCTTCCATTGCGGTTTCCCGTATATCTAAATATGTTTAGTGAAAGGTAAAACTTCCGAAATCTCTGTATAAACAAAGAGTGACGTAGGCGCGCAAGCGATCACTTCCGGCGCATGCGCAGATCGAAGCGCCCGTGCCGTCAGATCATTTTGTCATGGCTATGATTACAAGAGGTAAAACGATATAAATACTATTCGCTTTCTCACACAAACCGCTCGTTTTGTGTCTTAGGCCATCAATGTGTACTTACATTTACGAGTCATTAAATCATGTTTAATTTTGACTTCTCTGTGCATGCTTTTTGGTGGACCTTTGGTGGACCTTATCCTCCAGTGTATGACTGACAGACAACAACGGTTTGACTGAAAAATGTCAAAATTGAAAATACTGTGGAAACAAAGACACCTACATCTTGGATGCCCTTGAGGTAAGCTAAAACATATCAAAAATTCATTTCAAATTAAACTATCCCCTTAAAGCATTGTTTAACATCACTCTCCCTTTTAAATTGTATTGTCTACTCCCTTTTGAAATATTCTGTTATGGAAATTCTTTGTACACAGGCGTGCCGGGGCATGAAGTTTGGCATGTGTTTTGCTAGGTGTGCTCTTTTCTCAAAGTCCTCATTTGTCTCTCATTGACCAGTCAGAGAAATGTAGTTCAGAGCATTGTGTTGTAAAAACGATTTTTAACCGTGAGACTCAGCTGTGTGAAAGAGAGCTCCAAATATTCAGATTAGTGAACATTTATTGGATGTTTTTTTTTTTTTTATGGACTCAATCATTTATTCACCATAATCTTAAATATCTGGTTGAATCCTCGAGTTTGGGAATTCTTCAGCTATTCTGGAAGAAAGTACAGTGAATCAATGTAAACCAAGGTACATTACACAGACTGTGGTAGAAACCACTGCTGTTTGAGGTTGAGCCTAATGCCCATGACATTACAGACTGGAATGAGGTGAGACAGAGTTTCGGTTCTTGTCTCTTTTATTTGGTACTCACAGAGAACCGATGTCTTCATTGAATTCATTTCAAACAGTCTGCTATCAGTGGTTTGTAAATGTTCCAAGTAAATGAAAAGAGTAATGTGCGTCATTCTGTGCGGGTTTGACTAAAAGCCTCCTAATGTGCTCGCCAAGAAGGTCTTGGACCTGTCTGTGGTCTTCTCTAAGTGTGTTTTCAAGTGTTATGTGATTTGTTCTTTCTAATTATTCTCTTGCTCTGTTTGCCTACCCTTTCTTTTCTCTGCACCTTGCATTTCTCTTTCACCCTTCTATACTACATTCCTTCCCTCATTCCTCTTCAAACCAAAACCCTTTTATGCACGTCAGAGGCCCTTGCACTTGGGAAAAGGTGAGACGTCTGCTTGCTCTTTCTCTGGCCAAACGCACTACTCTTCACTGGCTGCGTCTGACGAATGGTAATGTTGGCTTCTTGATTATCTGTTTACTCTTTGACGTTTTCATCCGTGTTTTCACTCTTTTATTTTCCTCATTTGCCATGGATGCCAGTTCTGTGCCAAAATTAGCTATGTTTTGTATTGCGAAAGGGTAATTTGACCACATTATCTCATTCTTTTGACTGGTGACTTTAAAATTCGGCTTTTATTCATAGATGCCACCTATGGCAATACAAATAGAACGCCAGCATATTTGCGACCGACTCGCCCGGTATGGCCGCCCAAACTGCCTATTTGAATGAGAGGGAGAGAGACAGAGATACCTGGAGAAAATTTCAATTTTAGATCCTTATTTGTTACCCCGTTTTCTTTAATCCATTTTTATCTGGCCCAGGCTTGCCCCAATTGGCCTTTCATGATATAGATATACATAAGTCATAGAGCTATGGCACACATTCATGAGAGTCGAGGCGATGTCACATGAATGAATCTTTCTAATCCGAGTCCAGAGAGACACCTGCATCAGCACAGTCAGAGACATCAGTCAAATATCATAAAAGACTGCCATATCTGTCCGAAAGAACAGATGTTCAGTTAAAGAGAAGGTTTAATAATCACAAATATCGAAATGAAGGAGTCTTTCGAGTCAAATCTATTTGAATGATTTGGCTGCGATTAAAAGCTATCAAGAGGTAAAGCTCTTCAGTGATTATAATATAACGACTTAAATTGCAGTTTGTTCATCACATAAAGCCATCATATTAATAAATAAAAATATTAATATAATGGACGAGTCGTATTAGATCACTTTTGTGATGTTTTTGTCTTTTATTATTATTATTTTTTGCGTGACAGCCCCCAGTAGACTAATGTTAGGGCTTGTTCACATATCGCGTCTTTTGCGCACTCAAGTTCGTTATTTCAAATGTAGGCGCGCGGTATGCGCGCTCATAATGGAAGCGACGCGGTTGCTCGTTTTTTCCAAGTGCCGCATTGAGATAAAATCATCTCAACTTTTCAGAATGCCGCAAGCGCACCATAAGCGCACAGTAGGTCACATGACAAGAACCAACTGGAGCGCAACTGCCCTAGCTCTTTGTAAAAAGGAGAATGCGGCGCGCCCAGCGTTTTCTACGCGTTTTTAGGCTCTATATGTGAATTCGGCCTTACTCATTCACTTTCATTACGTCGACAAGAAGAGTCTCCATTAGGCTACATATTCAAAAATGTCCCTTTGTCTTCCACGGAAAGTAAACTTAAGGATTTGCACGGCAGAATTATAATTTTTTGAAGAACTAGTCCTTTAATATGGATTTCAAGGCTGAGATTATTGTGCATCGTCTGCAGAGCTAACATTACTTTACGTGCTAATGCTAATGTTACAAAGACAATATCTTTATGAACTTATTATTTATTAGATTTAGGTAGGTATCAGTGATGCGCGGGTCAATGTATAAACAATCCGCAACCGACCGACGTTTTTACCCGCCCGCAACTCGGACCGCAAAAAAAGTAAAAAAAATATTGTACCCGACCCGCTTCCTGACCCCATTTTTTAAAAGTAGTAAATGCTCATCGGAGCGTTATTGGGCCATAGACGTGTAACAACACAGCATCGCAAGAAGACGTACGCCTACACATAACAAAGGCAAAGCCAGCACTTAGGTCATCATCTTTCATTATTTCAGCAAATTTTACTCTTTCTATTTGTGTATTTGCGGAGCTTCCACTTCCCAGTCTTCACCTTTTCTCTTGCCGCCTCCATCTCTCTGCAGATTGTAGTGATTATAGACATGGCCGGTTCGTGAACGCATCGTTCTTTTGAACCGGTTCTTTTTAGTGAACCGGTTGAACCAGTACACTAAATCGAACTGAATCGTTCGAAACAGTTCGCGTCTTGCGTCAGTGCTGATCCAGAAGTTACTAAAGTTACTCACTTTCAGACATGCCTGATAGTCCCTCCGAATCGAAATAAATCAATATCCTAAATTATATTTTACTTCAGTAACTCCAACAGTTCACTGAACCGAGACATGTTGGTGCCACTGTTGAGAGAAGTGATGAACGCGAGCAGCTGATACTGCTCATAGATACTGCGTACTACCGAATGCACAGGGACAACAGTTCTCGAATCACCAGTATAGATCCGGGAACTGTTTAGACTGAGCTTGTGTGTAATCTTCGTGCCAGTTATTAAGCCAATAATGTGTAGGGCTGTATATTTCATGAAAAATTGTGTCTAGTACTATATTAATACAAATGTTTAATTGGCATCTTTTTTCAAACGACCCGACCGACCGCGTCCCGAATATCATTAAAAACATTTTTGGATGACCCGTAACTGCGGGTAACCGCGGGTGACCGCAGGCACCCGCTCATTTCGGATCAACCCGCGCATCACTGGTAGGTATTAACTAACAGAGAGACAGACAGTTATGTTCAAAATAACCCCAAATCTAATAACTTAAACTTACCTTGATAAAGTGCATTTAAACAGATTCAACAAATAAAATGAAGAAAAAAACATTATCTGTCGATATCTGTTTAATGTTGGCCACTGGGAGTAGGCTATAATAGAAATATAACTAACCACAAACCAGCAACTTGAGACTTCAAGTCTTTTAAATAAATGATTTCCTACTCTCTCTTCTTTTGGTTTAGAATAAAATACCAGTTCAGGGTTCCTCTTTCGGCTGTTGTTTCAGCCAACTGCCAACATATTGCAGGCATTATTAAGACCGTCGGTCGCAAAGGTGGCAGCGCAAAGCTCACATGAACCGAATGAATTCATCCAAAAATGACTTGCAAACCATAATGCTGCTAGTTTTTCTGTTGAACATAACTACTCGTTCTTTTCATTAATTTGTTTTGTTGTCTGTAAAGAATTAGCCTGTAGGCTGTTTGCTGTAAAGCAGGTTCTGCTCACTTTTCATGTCTGTCGTTCTGTTCTGTATGAACAATGAAACTCTTCTTTACTTCCAGTTCCTCAAGTGTCTTAATCCTACTTTTTAAGTCTACTTTTTTTGGAAATCCCTAAAATGTGAATGAATCCTCCAGTGACACATTACAGGCAGACAATCAGATCTGGGTGTTGACATGTGAGAACGGTACATTATGTTGACTGAAAAGATGGCCTTAGAAAAGGACAATCTGGTTTTTTAAAGTGGAGTCTCGCTTTGAATGCACAGGCCACATCTTCTAAATCAATCATGGATGTCCACTGCTCCACTAGAACAAGCACACCTCAGTTCGTTCAGGGCAGCTCGTTTGAGTTTCCTGTGTGTTATGAAAGAGAAGATGGCTACTCTCTGTTGGGTGCACAGGAGGTTAACAGATAACTCTGCACCCCTGAGGCTCCACCATCATTACATTTCATTCCACAAGCTCAAGTACTGCCTTGAAGAAAAGGTGGACTCTAGACAGGGATCTTATCCATTAATCATGAGTAGAAGGCCCAAAGCTGGTGTCAAAAAAGAAAAAAGTCACCTTGGGATTTGAAGTTTGGACTCTTCAGGGTGTTCTTTACAGAATAACCACCACCATAGTTTATAAATGTAATGGTTATGATTAATATGAACCACAGTACGTAGAAGTTTTCAAAATATGTCTTTTTGTTTATTTTATTATATTATATTTATTTTTTATTTATTTATTTATTATTTTTATTTTAATGGCAGCAGTGGCACATACCACATTATTTTTATTGTAGTGACAATAACTATGATGTTTTGGCTAAAACTGATTACATGGTCCATTTTAGTTAACTGCTTTTTCATTATGCATCATCTAACTGCTTTTTCATTATTTATCATCATCAACCATGGTGTTTTTTTCTGTTGAGCAAGGAATTGTTAAATTCATGTCATCTTCCACACAAAGGCTAAAAATATAGTTTTAATCTAATGAAACGTTTTACCCAGTAGAACTAAACGTTTTATTTTGTTATATATATAATATACCAATATTACTGTAAAACTTTACTGTCAATTTACAGGTAACTTCGAAAACTATTATAATGTATTTTCTTAAAACAGTATCATGCTGTATGTCTATAAATATACAGCAGTTTTCTGTTTTCAGCCTGTTTTATTTTTAATACAGTAGAGGCATTGATTTATGGGATGTTTATTTCATGTTTCTAGGACAAGAAAATGCATTCTCATTCATTGTCCCATTCATTTTCTCTCAACATAAGTGTTTTATATCTGCTATTCTACATTTTATTAATAACATGTTGTATAATGGGGATGTTTATTTGAAGTGCTGCTTTTTATTAGGAGAGGTGTGGCACCAGGGGCCTCCGACATAAATTATGCCTAGGGCCTACGAATGTTTAACCGGCCCTGACTCCGACACTAGGGCTATTAAAAGTCGAGGAATCACGTTTTTTGGAGTCGACTTCCCATCACTAATTTTGCGTCAGAATAATTGAAACATTTGTGCCTGTGTCGAGGATAAGTGGAAAGTGGAGCGTGAGAAGAAGGATAAACGATTGTTCGTCTGTGTATATGGTAAGTCAATCTTTTCTGGAGATTTTTGGTCTGGTGTCTACCTTTTCATGATTGGATTGACCTTGACCTTTGACCTACACATTTTGTTTGTACTTTTATTTAGTCCTGGGCATACGGTTTACTCTGTTCTTTTCACAGAATAACATTGATCTTTCATGGCAAAAATGAACATGCATTATTCTAACAACCTGCCTTGGAAAAGGTTAGTAACAATTGGCAATTGTTTTTTTTTTGTCATTTCAGGCTGAATCATCAGTTGCAGATCCAGTGTTAAAGTAAGTGGTGTGCTTAATTTCACCATTTACGTCACCATCACAAAATAAATATGTTTTTTTTTTTTTTTTTTTTTCTTTGCTTTTCTGACCTTTAGGCACTTGGACATCAACTCTGAAAATGGGTCAAGAACCAAGAATGGGATAGTGACTTCCAAGACTGGCAACATTGTGCAAAAAAGAGCAGTACTGTTCAGTGATAACTGTTATGACATTTCAGCTTGACATTGTGTTCATAAAAGGCAATTTCCTGCTTTTTCCTTAAAAAAAATAAAGGTTTTAAACATAACAGAAGTATTACATTTTTATTTATTGATAACAAATGTAATATAAGTACAGTTTGAAAACCAGGAGTTACACTATTCACCTGTATAAATACAATGAATAATTGCTGTAGACGGTGTACTACTGTAAAATACGTATTATATATATATATATATATATATATATATATAACAGTACTACACTTTAAATGCTTACAGTTGTAGTCCTATTTAAAATACAATAAGTGGCTGGCAACCCAGCTGCCACTATTTTACTGAAAATGCCCATGAAAAGGCTATGTTGTTTAATAATGGTATTTTAAATCAATAATGTTGCACTTTTATTTTTAAACAGCATGTATTTGATTTACTGTAGAATTTTTTTAAGTACTTTTAAATGATGAATAACTTTCAAAACCTACCTGAGTGTACTATAAATAATTTTCCCAGAAATAATTTGCTTTCGATATCAGCTTAATCAGGCAAATGCAGATCAAATGACAAAAAAACAACGACATTGCACTACTGTAAAGTTCACTTAGAGAGGAAATATACACTTGAAAATATTGTTTGTCATTACTTTCATTTTTGTCTCCTGCCAGCTGAACCATATTGTGAAAGGTTAAACTGACACCTTTTGTACTGCAAGCAAACAAGTACTGATTTTATCAGCCATGCATTTCATTTGCATTAAATATGTATTTTGCCGTTTGGCCTCATCTTTGTATCATCTCTTTCCTAAATGGCAGGCGGGCGAGGAGACGTTCAATCGTGCCAAGCTCCTCAACATTGGGTATGCGGAGGCTCTGAAGGAGTATGACTATGATTGTTTTGTCTTCAGTGACGTTGACCTCATTCCAATGGATGACCGCAACTTCTACAAGTGCTATAATCAACCCAGGCATCTGTCTGTGTCTATGGACAAGTTTGGCTTCAGGTATTTCTGCCTTTTTGTTGACTGTTGTCTTATGTCATGCTTTAATAGTGTATTTTCAGCCCCCAGAATGTTTCAATATGTATTTATAATTATTTGGATTACAAATGCACTTACTTATGTAATAGTTACATAATTATTAGGGAGTAGTACTAAGGTATTATTTTTTGAATCATGTTGGGTGTGTTTGCAAATGCATATACTGTGGTGTACATATTTGTATGGCAGGGACTGGCACAGTATTTACATGTTGAGTGTGACAAATAAACATAGAGTAATGTGAAAATACAGAGCAGGACATGTCCCAAACTGGTCAAAATGAGAAAGAAGTTCGTAAAATGAGCGGTTTAGTCCAAATTTTCTGAAGAGCCTCGATCACTTTAAATGATGAACAGATATAATTTAGGCTTTTATTCATGTTTAAAGATTGATCGGTGAGAGTGTGTATTAATTTTTGGTCAAGATCTTTTGATCTTGTATTGATTGTACAAGAGTCAAGCACTCGGTAAAGTCTCCTCCAGCACATCCCAAAGACTTTCAATGAATTCAAGGTTGTGAGGAGGAATATTTCTTCCTGATCAAGCACGATATAAGGTTTCATCTCGTTCAGTATCGATAATTATTGACATTTGTTATTTTATATTTTTTTCTTAAGACAAGGCAAACAACAAATTTTATTAGTTTTAGCAGTCAAAAATGAATTAAAATGTAAAAATAAATATGTAAAAAAATATCTTTTTCTTCTGTTAAGCTAAAAAAGTAAGTGTTAAAGAAACTTAAAATGTTACAAAATGTATGCAATGTAAAAGTGAAACGTAGAAAAATCAAGGCGAACTTTGAGGTATCAACTTCTGTAATAAGTAGGGTTAAAGTAAGTTAAGTAATGGTTAAAAAATTGACGGTTCGATACGACACAGTGATGTCACGGTTCGGTACATTTTCGATTTCAACAAAAAGAAAGAAATGGCAGAAAAATGTCCTTGATTTGAAAAAAACAAAAAACCATAATAATTATTAAAAGAGAAATTATTTTTAAATAAGTGAATTTTTCTACATCTTGAAACTTTTAGTTTTATAAATAGGAGTTATTTTTGAATATTACATTAAAAATAACCAAAAAATTACAATGTTTGAGTTTTGAAGTGCTGGATAAAGATGTGTGTACTTGAAAACATTTTACTATTCCTGCCAAACTTCCATGGTTAGTTAGTGTTACTACATTAAAGGGATACTCCACTTTTTTTGGAAATAGGCTCATTTTACCACTCCCCCAGAGTTAAACAGTTGAGTTTTACCGTTTTCGAATATATTCAGCCAATTTTTTTGATATTTAGAAGAATATCAGTAACCAGACTGTTTCTGGTCTCATTGACTTCCATAGTATATTTTTTTCCTACTATGGAAGTCAATGAGACCAGAAACTGTCTGGTTACTAAAATTCTTGTTAATATCAGAAAATCGGCTGAATGGATTTGAAAACGGTAAAACCCAACTGTTTATCTCTGGGGAATGGTAAAATGAGCCTATTTCCAAAAAAAGTGCAGTATCCCTTTAAATCCATGGTGAATGTTGCTGATCTGTGCACTTAAAACCTATAACTAGTTCATGTCACAATGTTTCTCCTGGTTTCCACGTCAGCTCTGTTTGATACGTTGTTAATAACGGAGATATTTTAATGCTTCTCACTAGATCTTGCAATGATTTTATAGAGGGAATGCATTGACGTCACTTTCCCACTGGAACAACCCCCCTCAGCCTGACTGAGTGGCAAAAGATCTGCTGACTGACTGGATTTAATATGGGAAACTGCAAAAATGCGACTAAAACGAACAATTTTATCAATTTAAACTTAATGTTAGACTCAATATAGAGTTCCTTACAACTTACTAAAGATCCAGTGATCCATGGATATTGACATGCAGCCAGGAATCGTGTTGCCTGACATTTATGTTTGCCTGATTTCGACACCGGGAAAAAAAAGCAATATAGGCCTAAACATAAAGCAAATTTGCCTGTGAACGCTTTATATAAATACAATATAGGTAGGTCTAAATCCGGGTGATCACTTATATCAGTGTTATCATATATTTTTATATTATACTTTGTATTATAATTTTGCTCTATCACCACTGCGACCATAAAATAATATTCTGGGTTAAATTACTGTAAATGTTTTTTTTTTTTTTGTTGATTTAATATTTACTGAGGGACCAGTCAAATTTATTTTCATTGGTAATCCACAGAAGGCAACAGATGCTGTTGATTTAACCTGGTCATATTTAATCCCGAATATCCTTTAACCCCCATTTATTCCACAAGGACTTTGACCTGTAATAAACGAGTCACTTTAGATAAAACCGATGATAAAGTAGCAGCGTTTGGGTGGGAAAATTCTAGTCACACATGATTCAGATTAGAGTCCATTGGGAGCTCAACTCTGAAACTGTAGCTCATTGGAGCAGCTTGTTCCAGTGACCTCCACCACAAGCTTTGTTTAATAGGAGTATGATGTATGTATAGGCGTGTGTGTCCTTTTGTACAGTCTGTAATGAGGAAATATCTGATCAAGGTTTGGTTTTTTACTTCCTCACACTGAATTGGGAGCAATTGGGTTGTTCTTTTGTAACAGATGTCGGCAGTCCTTTATAAAATCTTTACAGCGTTCACCACTGTTAGCATGGGCCGCAGAAGCAGGGCAGCTTTCTTCTCACACAGAACTTCAAAAGCATCTGGATGTAATTTGTAATTTTCAAGAGTTATCGTGCGGAAGAACGTCAGACAAGAGCCGGCCAGGACCTGATGTAGTATAGTGTTTACTCTTTTATTTCAAACTGAGGCACCTTTATGTAGAGCTAATCGTGTAAGCAAAACAGCAACCAAATCATAATAAAGGCTATTTATGATATTGGACAGACATTTGGCCTAAAAAAAAAAACGTTTTTGCACACCTTCCTTTATAATTGTCTTGTTCAAATTTGAATGTATTGAAATGCAAGTTCCCCCTTTTCTCAATGCATTATGTGTGTTTTACTTTGAATACCAGGTTGTAATTTTGCAGTTTCTAAAGGGATAGTTGAACAAAAATTAAGTTCTGTCAACATCATTTACTCATCCAATGCAATTGGGGACAGATCATGACGATTCAAAAAACAAAACAACGCAAAACAAATCCTTATTGCGCTGTATAAGGATGCACCGATTGTGGCCGATACCTATACCGATAATTCTTTATATTTGAAAGCCGATAGTATGTCAATACAAATTTTTCTATCATTTTTGAGAGCCTTATTACAAAAACAAGTCTCATCCTTAAATCCGTGTCTCAAGCACACAATTATAATGTTCTTATTATAATTTTTTGTAGCCTATATGACAGACAGCACATGTTGCACTTAAATGTATTTTCCCTTTTAATTTGATTCTTATCATACTCCAAGCAATTCAAAACCTTCACGGTGAACAGAGCATCGTCTGAGCTGAAATAATACTTTATTTTTCGGCTGTAATATGTCAGCCAAATTTTTTTGTCAGGCCAATAACGATAACATTAAAAATGAAAATATATTGGCTGATACCGATATGGTGGACGATTCATCATGCATTCCTAGTGCTGTATTCCAAGTCAATAGCTAATCGCTAATGCACGCAAGTTATTGTTGTTTTATTATGACTTTAGATCTAAATGTAACAAGTAGATTATGCATAGATTGCATTGCGCGCAAATCATGCAGGCTACTTTTATGATTCTTTTTTCATGCGGGTTTGAAAGTCACAAGATTTAACAAAGTAATGAAAATTCCTTTAAAGCACATTTCTGTTTGATATTCCATTTTATCATAGCCAGTGTATTTGCTGAAGCACTTTTCTCGCTCTTCAGTATTTTGCAAAATATTTTTTGACTTGTTATATTGATTAGCAATAGGCATTAGCAGCAAAGCTGTACGTGAATCCATTCTGGTGGTATTAGTTGCAACTCCCAGTTGAAGCTTCCTTCAAGTGGTTGTCTTGTGGTGATAATCTGGTTTGCTAAGGTTTTTCTGAAAGCAATGTGGATGGGTGTGTGTGTGGTCGAAGGGCTGTGTCCATATCATGTCGAAACTGCTGTAACTATAGAATAACAATTTCATTAAAATTCAAAGACAAGTCAGACTCAAAAATGGTTGGTTTTCAGGTTAACAGCAACACCAAATTGGATTAATCTGTAGACTAGCTGTTTCTACTTGTAAATTGATTTTATGTCAATAGATTGTACATTCTCTCATTGAAGTATCAGGAAATTTCATGTGTAATTTCCAGTTCTTAAAGTCAACATTTCAATTGTCAATATAATTATTCTAATTATGCGCTGATTTTAAAGTATTTATTTGTCTAGTGATGTCTCTCTTTGAGTGTGATCTCTACAAAGTAATACAAAATAAATCCTGATTAAAATATAATGGATAAAATAGTAAAACGTATACAGTATATTATACTATAATACTAGCTCATTTTAAATAGTCATGCTGCTGTGTAACAAATCCATTTTCAAAAGTTTAAAATATTAGATACATTTTGTTGTATTGAAAATATACATTAACAAATTGATAATTACATTTTATTTCCTGAAATATCAGGGAATTTTAAAAGTGTAATTTCCAGAGCTCTATTCAGAGATAATGATGGATAATACATCTCTGGTGCCTTTAGTTTGGTCAAAAATATCTCACACCATCCGTGTAAACTGCAATCCATGTTTCCTGACGCACAACTATTGCTATGGTTATCATAACTATGTGGACTATATCCCCATGTGGGTTATCAGGAGTGACGCCTCCTGATAATTTACAAGAGCAACTGGCTTACAGCAAACCACAGAGGCAGCAGTTGCTTTCGGGCTCAAGTTTGGCCCCCTGCCACTTCTCATTAGTGCATATCATTTCCCTGCAGAGAAACACCAAGCTGTGTGCTGCACTTCTTCTGCACCTGACCTAACAACTGCCACACAACACGCAACTGTTCCTCATAGTCTCTCTCTCTCTCTCTCTCTCTCTCTCCGTCTCCAACAGGTTGCCATACACGCAGTACTTTGGTGGTGTGTCATCACTGAGCAAAGAACAGTTTCTGAAGATCAATGGCTTCCCAAACAACTACTGGGGCTGGGGAGGGGAGGACGACGACATATTTAACAGGTTTGAGAACCCTTCTAAAGGAATATCTCACCCAATTATGACAGTTCTGTCTTTTTTTTTACTCAACCCTGATCCTGTTCCAAACCCATTTGCTGATTGTAACACACACAAAAAAATATTTTTTAGAGAATCTTCACAGATGTGATGTGTAGCCAAGTATGGTGTCCCATACTCGGAAATTGTGCTCGGAATTTATACATTTTATGGTGAATAAATGGAGGTTGGAGCAGGCTTCACTCAAAGTTTATACCTCAAATTGTTTTAAGAGTGCTGGCCTAATAATGACAATGCATGTTTGGAAGAGAGAGGCCGCACTTTGCATATACAGTTTTATTATACACAAACGCGTTTCGGCGCGTGCCTTCTTCAGTGTGCATTTTATGGTGACAATGGCCATTCAAGCAAAACAACAACATACAAGCACTGTAAAAGCCCCATAAAAGTAGTTTTTGACGATAGTTTTACGCAATAAACTGACCAAAATTTAAGAAATCTTTTCAATTTGTTTGGATGTAAGCAACATCGAACGTCATTGGTCATCCAAAAACCCGCCCAAAAATTGAGCGCAAACAAGTTTGGAGGGAGATAAAATAATGACATTTAAAAATGTCGAATGTGAAATGTCTTTGCGTTGGCGTACACCCACGTTCAAATGTGTATGAATGAAGTTTAAAGTTTAGTGTGAACGTGAACGCCCCTTTCTATTAAAAAACACACGTTAATGTTTTTTTTACCTTGAGCTGAGCTCATGTTTGCCTTCTAGTGCAATCTAACCAAGGAAACCTCTGATCCAGAACAAAACGGAAGCGTACGTTCAGCTGAATGTTCCTTTTTTGAGCCTCACACATCCTGTCGTTGTGCTGTAAGCATGGCATTGCACAGTCAAAAAGCTCAAGCATGTGATACTGATATCAAACTTTTGGGGTTTGGGTTTTTTTGTTTTGTTTTTATTGAAATTAATACTTGTTTCCAGCAGTGATCAGTGTTGGGAGTAACGCATTACAAAAGTAATACCTTACAGTAACATATTACTTTTTGCTGTAACGCAGTAGTGTAAGGCATTACTAATCAATTTTCAGTAATATTTTACTCGTTACATGTTCAGTGAGGCTTGTATTACAGTTGTATTACAGTGTATTGTCTGCTTTTACTTCTTAAAGGCAACAGACTATGTGAACGTTTTAAAGCAGTCTTTCAGTGCCAGTTCAGAGCGGTCGCGTCTGTAATATTGTTTTTTCCTCATAAATGCGAACACGAAAACTAAAATAAAATGAATATTTTAAGTTCCATGGAGACTGCAGAGCCAACCCTTCCTCATCCGATTTGCGCAGTGTAATTAACAGAATTACAAAAAATATATTTTGCCTACTATTTTTTTTGTCACGCATGAATGTGTGTCTTTTCCCTAATATTAAAAATAAAACATAGACTGATATTTGTCTAATGCCTGGAGTCCTTTAAGGAAGTAGCCTATATATGTTTCAATATATGTATTTTCTGAGAATTTTTATTTCAAGTTTTGACTGCAAATGTCATGTCCATAATGCTGGACTTCCCCAATTTTAAATAATTTATCCTCAACTAGTTTTGTGGAGTAGATCTACGTATTTTATAATGTTAACTTCAAATAATACTAATAGCCTAATTTAAAGATAAGGTAGCATTGGATCTGGACTGTAAGGAGAATAACGCTGGGAGGTGTGTCGCGATTCTGTAGGTTCGTGGATCTGAGTTGTGTGGCGAATCGCGATTTCGGTTTCATATTGCATATAGTTACAGCCCCAAAGTTAAGTTCTACTTCTGTAGTTATTTTGGTGAAAGTAATTCAAAAGTAATACATGAGTAATGTAACGCATTACAATTCTGAGACAGTAATATTGTAAGGTAATGAATTACTTTTAAATAACAGTAACAAGTAATACCTAATGTATTACAGTTTGGAAGTAACTTGCACAACACTGGCAGTGATGCATTCAGTTGATTTAAAGTGACTGTAAAGACTTGCATTGTTGCAAAACATACAAAAAAAAATAATTAAAATTAATGCGGTTTGGCTTTTAACCTTTCTCTTGATTAAAGAATCCTGGAAAATGCTTAAAGGTTTCCACAAAAAAAAAAAATATTAAGCAGAGCACCTGTTTTGAACATTGTTGAAATGTTTCTTGAGGATCATCTGACACTTGGACTGGAGTAATGATGCTGAAAATTCAGCTTTGCCATCACAAGAATAAATTACATTTTAAAATGTATATTAAAATGGAAAACTAAAATAGAAACTTCAAAATATTGCTGTTTTTGCTTTATTTTTGGATAAATGCAACCTTTATGGGCCAAAGAAACGACGGCTTCTTTTTTTAAATGGGTACGCTTTATTTTAATGTGTCTTTGTTAAAGTCTAATTCAATTCAACATGTATTTACTATAGGGTTAAGATTAGGTTTTGTTTAAGGGTTAATTGCATGTAATTATGCATAATTACTGTCATTACTATGGTAAATACATAAAACTATGCAACAAGTAAAATAAAGTGTTACCAAAAAATGAATTTTTTGAATTCTAGTGCAACTGAAATTTGGTCCTGTTCCTGGTTTTAATAGCTCTGCCACAAGCAGGGGCCGATAAAATGCCTTATCATCTGCTTATCAGGGTGCAGACAGAAGACAAAACCCGTTTAACATCTTATTTGCACGTCAAAAGAATACTTTTTCTTTTATTTTTCGAGGCCTTTCGACACTGTTATTCAAAGGATACTGGAGAGTTACTGTGGATTAGAACTTGCGTCACCCTCATGACCACCTGCATTTGTCAGCTGCTCGGCTACAGCCTTGTTTTTCAAGGGGAATGTTCAGGAAGTGTGCAGAAAAAATACTTAAGTACAATACTTGCAAATTTTTAATTTGAATTGCAATAGAATACTAGGTGATAGTCAGTGTTGGGGAAGCTACTCTGAAACTGTAGTTTGACAAGCTACAAGCTACTCGTAAGTTAAAGTAGTTAAACTACAGTCAAGCTACTCTTTTGGAAAAGTAGTTAGCTACACTACAAGTTACTATCAAAAAGTAGCTAGCTACATTGAAACTACTTTTGCTTTTTTGAACAACGTATATTATTAATAACTGAATAAAGACAGAAGGGGACAACAATACTTTTTGAAATCATAATTTTATTGCATTGTTTCAAACACTAAATGTTTTACTTAAAACATCTAAAACATTTAGTGTTTAAAACAATGCAATAAAATTATGATCTCAAAAAGTATTGTTTTATTACACACAACCACCAAATATCTCAGAATGTTTGTCAAAAGTGCAAAATTGCAACAAATAGTCTACAACATTGCAAGAACAAAATATACATCCAACGTAAATTGCATGTAGAAAATTTTTTCAAAAAACTTGGACAAATAATGCCATGGGTAATTAACTTTAGTTGTTTCTCCATCCTCCAAATCTGCCGTCAAGTCTTGCTCCATCATCATGTGTGTGTGTCAACACACTTCTGTACGTCAGTTAACCGTTAGCCGCAAGATGCGTGATTAAACAACAGGTGGCGGTAATGGCAAAAAAAAAAAGAGTTTGTAATCTAACAAGAAGAAGAATATAGCATCGCGCTGATTCGCGCAGGCTCGACAAACACAATGTAGCTTTTGCTCGAGCTACACCGCTACTTGCTGCAAAAAGTAGTTAGCTACTGGAAAAGCTACACTGTTTAAAAAGCAACTGAGCTACAGCCAAGCTACTGAAAAATGTAGTTAAGTTAGTAGCTTCGCTACTTGTAGTTAACTACTCCCCAACACTGGTGATAGTGCAGTCAGAACTAATCTCTCACCTTAAATATTAAACTTTAAACATACATTTAAATATGGTACTTAATGTTTTTAATTCACTGTTTGTGGTACAAACATGATAAATTGTGTGGCTGAGTAGGTATATGCTATTACTTTTCTAACTATTCAGACTTTCATATAGATTTTCATATATTTCATATTTCGCATGGGGTGGTGATGGCGCAGTGGATAAGACACATGCCTTTGGTGTGAGACGCGGGTTCGAATCCACTGTGAGACACCAATGTGTCCCAGAGCAAGACACTTAACCCCTAGTTGCTCCAGAGGCGTGCAACCTCTGACATATATAGCAATTGTAAGTCGCTTTGGATAAAAGCGTCAGCTAATTGAAAAAAATGTAAATGTATGGTTTTTTCTATTCGTGATTCGGTGGCTCTGAATTGTCAAAACACCATTCATACTCCATTCAAACTGCTTGCTACGGATGCGAAAAACGCAGATAATAGAACCCGATTCGATTTTTATGAATTTATTTATTTATGACGGACGAAAGTTTCGGAGGCAGTGTGAAAGCATGATTGACAATGTGAGTCGTGAGGTTGTATTTATTTTTTTAATGTGCGAAAAATTTGGACGCAAATTTCGGACTCGGTGTGTAAGGGCCTTTAGGGACAAATAAATGATGATTCTTTCCCAATTGTGACAAGCTAGTCAAACAAGTTCAGCTCGTATCTACATGAATGAGTAAATATCTATCAGTATCTTAGAAACTGTTTGCCATGGTTAGGGATAGTTCCCCCCCATAGCCCACCCTGTTTTTGTCCATACAATGAAGATATTTTGAAGAATGTCAGAAACCAGAAAGATCAGAATGTCAGAAAGATAAAAATACTAAGGAAGTCAGTTGGTTTCTTTACATTTCACTGGGTTTTGTTTGGTTTCTGACATTCTTTTGTTAGGGATAAACAGTCAAAGACCCAGACCCAGATATGAAGAATGACCCAGAGTCAGAATTATAAAAAATTAAAGAAAGTTTTTACTGAACATAGTTTGCAGTTTCATCAGCTTCAAGAAAAACTTGAGGGTGACTAAACGATAACTCAATTTTCAATTTTGGATGAACTATCCCTTCGAGCAATGAGAACGGTTTGGCCCGACAGTGGAAAAGCGGCTAATGTCTCTGAACTGTTATACCATGTACTAGATAATTATAGATGTTTATTCTCTACACATACTTTCAAGAAGCTTGAATCAAATGAATTGAAAAGCACTGCATGTTTTCACAGGGTTACCTCCAAAGGGATGAGCATATCAAGGCCCGACGCAATCATTGGGAGATGTAGAATGATCCGTCATGAGCGAGACCAAAAAAACGACCCCAATCCACAGAGGTACTTAAACATATTACAGCCTTTCTGTAAAACCTTAAGCGCTTTGAAATGCATCGAAATAATACATTGTTAGTTGAGCGACCGCTTTGTCAAATTAGCAAGGCTGTGCAAATAGAGGCCACTTTAACTACTTAATGCCCTCCTGCACTGTGGAATGTTAATCATGTCATTTCCTGTTACAGGTTTGACCGAATAGCTCACACAAGGGAAACTATGGCAAGTGACGGGATCAATTCGCTAACATACACGGTTGTTCAGATTGAGAAAGATCAGCTATTCACCAAAATCACAGTGGATGTGGGAAAACCATAACTCCGGCATAGAGACAGACTCAAAACTGAGTGAAACTGCAGCGTTGGCTGTCCAAACCAAATGTGCCTTGATTATATCAAATCAACTGGACAATTTTCAAAGTGGATTATATATTTGTACAAATTTTTGTTTTGCCATCTTTGCACATGCGATGGTGAACGCAGGGGTCTGGACTCCTTTTGCCTAGTGTATCAGAACTGTTCGGCTGCTAAAGGAGACGCATAAGGGTTTCGTGTTGCCCTGAAGAGGCAACGGGCCATCCTTGTTCTGTCTCAGATTCTTCTGCTGAGGATAAAGACTATATTTTGAGCCATTTGATGGAAGCAGCATTTTAAATTGATCTGAATTGAAAATGTCGACGAATGTGAGTTGCTGTGTATGGGATTATTTAGTTTGCGTGTTCGAAAGTGAATATTTAAAGGATAGTCGGCAAGCTAAGCAATGCAAAAAAGCTGGGATAACCAATCAAGGGCTGTGGATATTCTATAATCATTTCCCAGAAAACTGGCATTTTGGGGCTGTCACATATTTTGTTTACTTTTATTTTACAGAGCCTTTTAAATGACTTCTCTTTTTGTTTAGGATGAGATGTCTGAATGTATTAGCCTGAGTTGTTGCTTAACACATATTGGACCATTATCATGTTTGCTGGAGCACCAAAGTGGCAGCCTTGCATCTTAAGACGTTCGATTCGCCCCTTCTCTTTGGTGCATTATCTTTGCTGTATTTGGATTTTTGGAAGCAATTCTATCAAATCAGGTCAACCTTTCAGTTTGGTTTTGTTCCTTTTTTTTTTTTTATTGCATTGTGATTTTCTCAGATCTATGCTGGTTATTAAGGGCACAAGAATAGTCAAGCTCTCTACTGTACTGAAAACATGAAGCCATTGAAAATTTTGCTGAACTGACCAGTTGATACTTGTATTTTTTTTTCTTTCTGATGTGCTGGTCTGTTTTCTTTGCAGTGTTTCGCTTTAAAACCTGTCATTGTGGAAACCAAAAATGCCTTACATCACTCAGGCGATGAAATGCAGACGGAGCAAATGAATGTATGTCAGCTGTTTGCTCAAGTGCCTTTCAAGATGGCGACTAACAGCCCATACAGAATGTTTAAGTTGCACAGCCAAAAAAAAAAAGTCCACCAAGCCGAGCACCCCGAAAGAGAAAGACTTAGTTTTTCTTTCCTGCTTAAAAACTCTCCCATGCCTTGTAAAAACTCCTTTGCACCAGGAAAGAAAACTACCTCTCCACTCGGCACAGCACTCGCAAGCAGAAGGGATTAGCGGCTAATGCTGTCTCTCAAACCAAATGCTTTGGCACAAATATCTTTGGCTTTTTCCCCCCTTTGGTCAGTTAAAGTGAGGTTTAAATCTGTTTATACATTACAATGGTCTTTGTTTAAGGGCCAGCACATAATTAAGTTTTAAGCTTTCTTTTTATTTTTTAAATGTATTGTTTGACTTTTTTTTTTTTTCAACTTTTTTGTTTTCCATTTTGTTTATGCCTATAGGTTCATCTTAAGTGTAATGCAGTGAATAATTAACTTAATTTTGGAAATTATGGAAATTAAATGGTGTTTGATTTAACTCCGCTTGTGACATTACTGAGGTGTGAAGTGAAACATAAGACAATAACCTGAGAACTCTGGTAACCTGAGAACTTCGGCAAGAGGAAGTCAGCATTCCCTCTTCAACAGAAGATAATTACAACTTTCCATTCACACGAACCAGTTAACTCTTGCCTAACCACTAATGTGATCTGGCCTCGGATCTCATAATTCATTTGTTGGTAACATAAAAGTGATGAAGGGATGGATAAATACAGTATATCTTTAAAATAAACACTTTCATAATTTTCTGAATCGGTTGACGCAACAGATGGCTGTGTATTAATGTGTTATTTTGAACTGTCAAAGAAAAGACTTGTCATGCTTTGCATTTCACATGGTGGGGTAAATGTGAACTTGAGCCAATGCCAATGAGAATGTCATTAGCTGGCACTGTAGTTAATGTTTAGTTGTTTTTATTAGGCAAAAAAGCATTTGGGATTCTGCTTCTGCTTGCCTGATGCAACACTAGGCAACGCTATACTTATGTTTTTGCACATTTTAACTACACTCTTAGAAAAAAAGGGGTTCTATATATGAAGCATAGGGTTCTTTACTCAACTCCAAAGGAACTTTTTTTTTCAAAAAAAAAAAGGTTCTATCCACAAGTTTCCTACGCCCCATGAGGCCTTGCGTCAAAAGTGGGCGCGACTTCCGGTTGGAAGTAAACAAAGCGCGATTTGACATGCTTGACACTCCTACATTCAACAGTTGACAATCATTCAAGTTATAGCGATCCAAACTAGCTAACGATGTGTGAACACAACCTCAACGAAATTCAAAAGGGTGAAATAACAGTACCTTTACCCTCCGCAGTAGTTGATTGGGAGTATTATAATAACATTATTAATAATCAATACTCATCAAGGCATGGTGACAGACAGTTGTGCGAGCTGACAAACAATTAAAATAAAAAATACACACTTAGTCATTGTGCTTTGGAGTTTATTCAAAATTATAAATGAATGTGCTGCTTGAATACATTAACTGGCACATTTGATATTCTGTCAACACAGGCTTTGATCCTGAGTTTAGGTGTAACATCAGTAGCGAACAGCCAAACACATGCTGATAGAGTTTATAGAACATTAAGAATTTAAACAAATGTACACAGGAAGATTCGTCGTCTTTTGGGAGGTGATGGAAACTACGGTCGTTGGCAGGATCACTCTGATTTCGTTTTCAGCTTATGTTCAAAACAATCACGTTTAAGCCACTAAATTAGTTTAGTCCGGCTATACATACAACCGCGAACAGCACATGTTGTCCCTGAGCTCCGTAACGACATCTCTCATAAAGATTTGCGTCTTTAAATAGTAAAATAATTCTCCGAAAAACAGCTAGCCTCTTCGCTAACTAACACACAAAATACCATTGGAATGCTACTTCCGCCACCTCACCGGAAGTTTCACCCACTTTATTTTTTACAGGAGCGCCCCTTGGAAACTTGTGGATAATGACAAAAAAAGAACCCTTTGGCACAAAGGTTCTTTATAGGCTATTATTCATTCATATATTACATTATTCTGCAACAGTGTGTAGTTGTAATTAATTTATTGTTAAACTGTTGTTGTAACTTTGTCACATTTTAATCATGCTGATTTTTGGAGGATAAAAACTGAAAAGGCACTCTTCGTGTGATATTGATTAATTACATTTTTTAACCCCCATATCTTGAATTTTGTGATCATTCACATGCATTGCATTTTAGGGGTTCCAAATACGTAGCGCTTTCTAAGAGTGTAGTTAAAAGGTTAAAAGTCATCCCTTGCCATTAGGATGTTTAATTCTAGGTTAAAAGTCATCCCTTGCCATTAGGATGTTTAATTCTAGGTTGTTCTAGCTAAAAGATGATCGCTGGTGTGCAACGTAGTAATTTCATATGAAATTCCCCAACTGCTCTGGCAGGTTGTGTCTTACAAATTACCTGGGGGATTCAAACACTGTTTGTACAAAGTCAGTCCTCGCCCTGAGAGAGAAACCCGTTTCCTGTTGGACAAACAGGTAAGAGACTCTAAGGTCGCTTCGGTGAACCAGCAAGATTAATGGTCCATGTTTTTTAACAACCTCAGTGTGGCCTTCGGGTGACCTGTTGAGAACATATGTGGCTCACAAAAATGCACAAAAGTCGCATTACGTTTGCTAACAAATAAAGAAAAATATCTATTTTTACACAATAGTAGTATTTATGCTTGAACGTAATTATAATTTGCATTTAAAGTTGCGTTTGTCATGTTCAAACTGTCAGTGATGGCGGAGTTAGTGTAAATAAAAATAAAGATGAAAAACCGCTCTCTCTAGTTGAACCTCATGAATATTTATTTTCCATGTCCACACGCGTTTCGGCCTAACTAAGCCATCATCAGTGAGTGTGAAGTTAGTGTAAATGATCTCAGGCAACACTGCGTTGGTATTTTATTTTGTTTTGTTTGACTGTGTTGCTTTTGGAATAGTCCGTGTGTTTTATATGAATTATATTATTTTGGTTCTTAAAGGTGCCCTTGAGTTTGGGAAGTGTGTTATACATCAAACATTGTTACTGGTATTGTTGGACTCAGTGTTGACAGAGGTGACACATTATGTTGATTTTTCCTTCCTGGTGCTCTGCTAGGTATTTCTGGCTAAAACTTCCGTTGAATTTCTATTCCCTGAATCAGGACTTGGCCTGCTTGGAGTTCAGACAGGACGTGTGGGTCTCGGAGGCCTCTGTATTTTAGGACATGTCAGCCAGGTGGGTCTGTTTCCTGCAGCAGGCGCTCATGGTCACCTCACTCCCACAGGAAAAAGAAATGCCTACTCATAGTCTGTTTATACCAGCATTAATATATATAGCCGAGTTCATTATGAATCTCAGGAACATGTTATTGCCAGCTAACTTGATTATATGCCATGCAAACTTCATTTTCAGGACTGCTGTATGCCACCGCAATTCAAATTCAGTCTGAACAAATGTAAATAATTCTCAGACATTTAATAAAGGCAGGAATGCATTATGTAAAGTATCACGCTTAATTTCACAAGGCAGCTGTTTTAGGACGTGACTGCATCAAAACAGCTCTTGTGAAGGAAAAGGTCATTTTTCTTTTTGGACCAGACTAAAATACAAATTGAGTTAATGTTTTGCAATTCTGTGAATGTATGTTAGACAATGTATATTTGATAAAACACCACAGAAGTGCCCGCCTTATTAAAGTGGACATGTGTTTATCACTTATTACTAAAAAAGGACTTTGACTAAATATTCGGGGTATACGATATAGCACACTAAACTGGTTTTACACGGGTTTATAACCTTAACGGGATCAAGATCTAATTCAAGTAAACTAGGGTGCGGTTAAATTTCACATTTACCATTGTAAGCCATGGTGTTGAGCAAGGAATCCTGTGAAATGTTTGTCATCTCATCTTCCACAAAAAGGCTGAAAAAGTGGCTTTAATCTGATAAAGCTTTTTTTGTTATATGGCTATACACCAATCCAATAATACTGGCTGATAGCTAAAATGATAGGTAGTTATTTTTCCAAATCAATAATTGCACTTAATTTTTTTGTATTTGACAAAACTTAATGTTGTTTTTTATTTAATTTAAATATGCTTTTTTATCAGAACAAGGCAAGGAAAGTACTCAAATTACACTATTTTTAAACAGCATTCTCAATGTGTGATAATATGTATTTGATTTACAGTATAAAATATGACTTCTTTAAACTATTTTTAAATAATAAATAACTTTCAAAACCTGCATAAGGAAGTGTATACTATGAATAAGTTTCCTTGAAGTTATTTTATTTCCTTATCAGCAATCAGACTAGTAGGTTACAGTTCACACACAAAAAAGAAGACAAAACACACACACACACAGAGAGAGAGAGAGAGAGAGAGAGAGAGAGAGAGAGAACAACAAAACAAATGATAAAAAAACATAGGGTGCTGCCAGTACTTTACACAGAGCCAATATGGGTCTATTAATTTTCATATCATTGTACTTTGAAACCCGTCAGGTAAATTGTTTGTTTACAAAGTGACAGGTATCACTAACTACCCAGATAGCACAAGTCTATTTGATGTGATGTTTACATCTGGAAGACGTATTTTTAAGAGTGTTTGCTCATCTGCAATACGTCTATAGGACGTTTCCTGACAGATGTCAAATAGACGTATGGAAGATGTGTGTGTGAGAGAGAGAGAGAGAGAGAGATATTAACTTGTAAGACTGCAACAGCAAATTGAGAATATGCAAAAATAAATAAATTAAAAATACCAAAGAGACTCTCGCTCAAATGCAACACACACACACACACACACACACACGCACACACACACACACACACACACACACACACACACAGAGAGAGAGAGAGAGAATTAACTTAATTAGCATTATTTTATTTAAAAAAAAATACCAATTTATTGCAAATAATTTATTTAATTTATTTTTTTTTGTTCAATTATTAGAATGATCAAATACTAACAAAAATGTTTGCATTGTGTTCCCTTTCTAACCAAATGCTATAGTTTGATTGTAATCATAATTCAAAACCTGATAGGCTACTTATCTTAAAAAATGTTTAAAAATAAAGTAGTCTTTTAGAATATCTAAATGTATATCTAAATTAAAAAAATAAAACATATAAGATAAAAAAAATCATGTCTAAAACAACAAAAGGTATCAAAAAGCCTTTCTGTTATATAGGAAGATCTAAACAAAATAAATAAATAAAATAAAATTATGCACTCTCAGAAAAAAGGTACAAAAAAAGCTGTCACTGGGGTTGTACCTTTTCAAAAGGTAAACTTTTGTCCATTTTAGGTGCTAATAAGTAAATTTTAGGTGCTCATATGTAAATTTTTAGGTGCTAATATGTACATTTTAGGTGCTAATAAGTAAATTTTAGGTGCTAATATGTACATTTTAGGTGCTAATAAGTAAATTTTAGGTGCTAATATGTAAATATTAGGTGCTAATAAGCAGTGTTGTAGTCGAGACCACCTCACTCGAGTCCGAGTCGACACCGAGACCAGAGAGAGTCAAGTCCGAGTCAAGACCGAGTCCATAGAGAGTCGATTCCGAGTCGAGTCTGAGTCGAGACCGAGACCAGTGAGGGTTGATTACCTAATTTACTTTTATTTACTTAGAGAAATCCTTTTTTTTTTAATGAATTTACTTAGAGTTTAACAAATATGATCAGTTTAGGGTAAAAAGGCCACATAGTAGGTGGTATTAAAAGTAATTTTATTACAATTTGTCATGCGCA